ACATATCATAATTTTATAAAAAATTTATTGATAAAAAAAATCTGTAATATTGCAAATTTATATGGAACTAGACGTATGTTTGATTTTATTGGATGATCGGCCACCCCAGCGCTAAGGGTGTTAATTGGTCATTATTATAAAAAATATAAAAGCCGGATCGAGCCGATAACATCTGTGGCAGTATAAAATATTCATACATCATCTCCACTATCATTTTCTATTTCTTCCAGATCTATCTCCTCTTCGTCATCATCATTCTCGCTTTCTTCATCTTGCACGATGGAGACAGTTTTCTGCAAATATGAGAGCATTAAATTATTGATTGAATAAAAGTTATAACAAAATTCATTTAAACATACATCTGCTGTGCATATATTGCTTTCGAAAGGTCTTATTGTATCTTTAAATGATTTTCTTACTCCTGCATTGGTTGACAAATCCCAAATGTGTACTTTCCCCCCTGAACCAGCTACTGCCAGATGAAAAGGTAGGTCTAAACAAAATTGCGCAGCAAAAACTTTTCCCTTTAAATACGTATCAAATTGCAGAAAGCATGTTAAAAAAAGATTGATTACAATAATAAGTAATTATTTCTGATAACGAAATGACGTACCACGCCCAAATCTCGGCTCGTGACAATAGATGGTTTCATATCCTTAATATTCCAAACCTTCACCATTTTATCCGTTGATCCAGTAACTACACATCCTCTAACCGATCGATTTACATCCAAAGATGTTACAGCAGCATCATGCGCATGTAATGTGAAGACTGGCGCTGTCTTGACAGAGTTTCTCGTGTCAAAACACAAAACCAACCCAGATTCTGTACTCACGTAGAAATACTGAGGAGTAAATGGATCCCAGCGTACACATTCTGGATCCGCATCTCCGAGACTCCAAGACGCGACATTTTTAGATGTACGACTATCAAATGCAACCACAGTTTTATCAAAAGATGCGGTCAACATGATGGTAGGCTCAATGGAATGCCATTCCACTTGTTGCACCTATCAGCATTGAAAAAATCTTTTATTATTTGTTACAAGTGGAAATTGATGATAGCAATAAATACTTTGTCTTTGTGATAATCAAACGAATGTGCGCATTTTAATGATTGAAGGTCCCATAATTTTACAGTTGAATCGGCAGAAGAGCTAGCTAACAGGTTTCTTAAAATTTTCATTAAAATTAGTGAAGAGGAGGTAAAATTATATTGAAATAATAATTATATAGACCTATGATGTTTATTCCATGATAATCCCATGACTGCATCTGTATGGTATTCTGAATTAGGTTTCTAGAATACAAATAATAATAATTTTAAGAGTGTAAAAAAATGTTGGGATCATAAATATATTAAGTTTTCCATTTATTACCTTCT